TCAGATTCTCCAGCATCTGCAGTTCCTACTATCTCTATCCAGATGCATGTCAGCTTGGTACAGCAACTGCTCTGCCCAAGACCATAGGAAACTAAAAAGTTATGAATACAGACCAGTCCATCACGCAAGCCGACCTTCCATCCATCCATTGACTCTGTCTATACTTCCTGCTGTCTTGGGGAAAAATACCAACATGATCAAAGACTCCTGCCACCCCGGTTATACTCTCTTTCACCCTCTTCCATCAGGCAGAAGATATAAAAGTTTGTATACATGTACAAACAGATTCAAGAACGGCTTCTTCCCTGCTGTTAACAGACTTCTGAATAGGCCGCTCAAATTTTACATTTCATGTTGCTCTCGCTCTCTGTGCACCTTCTCTGCAGGCGTAACATTGTATTCCTCGCTCTGTTCTATTACCCGAATGCATTTTGTATGGTATGATCTGCCTGTACTGCACGCAAAACAAAACTTGTCACTGTACCTAGGTATATGTGACAATAACAAATCAAACCAAATGGAGACCCCTTTACCTGGTAAAACTGGGTGGCTGCACAGTCTTGTTGGATGCTGTGACTCCAGATGATGCCTTTTCCCCACTCAGGGCAACATCGATGAGGTGATATGCTGAATGGGCTTTTTGGCAACTGATATTCCTTCTCACTTTGTTGGTACTGGACCTGTCCATTCTTCTGGATGGTGTTTCAAACATATTGAACACTTCATGGCTGAAGGGGGAGGAACAAAACACCACGTTAGCTGGTCAGTCATGACAATGTGGATCACATTGATGATAAAGTGGTAAGCAAAGATGAATTTCAGAAATGACTTTGTCGGGGGGTGTGCAAGGGAATACTTGAGCTAAGAGAAAAATAACTTCATTAAATGTGAGGAACTATTGACACTTGGCAGCTAAAGAATGTGCAGTTCAGCATCAAAGTTTCTGAGAGGGGATTCAGAGTGATGTTGTGCTAGCTTTCAGCAAAAATTGACCTCTGTTTCAACTCAATATCAATGCAACAATTAGTTCTGGAAATATGGGCATCAGGGATTGGTTCAGGAGAATTTCAAGATGAAACAAGACCAAGGATGGAAGGTTCCTCTCCCTGGAGGTGGTGAGAGAGGTGGCAAGAAGGCAAAATAATGGGGCACGTTGGCCTTGGAGACAAACCCAGCCATTTCTTGCCAACTCACTCATTAAGTTCTGAGGAAGGGTCACCGGACCCGAAACATTAACTCTGATTTCTCTTCACAGATGCCACCAGACCTGCTGAGCTTTTCCAGCAACTTCTCACTCATTAAGTTCTGGGTGAAGAGGTCCGTTAGCAACCCACCACCCTCTGGGCTCTTAAATGGTTAGTTAATAGCTGCTTAAAGGTCTCAATTCATCCCTGATCGGAGTCTCCTTGGCAGCCAAGTGGAGTAGTTAGCTTCCTGATTGTATCACCAGAAGAATCTGCTTGTTGAGTTGTGGGGAGATTGGATCTCCAGTAGCAACTAGAGGCTCGGATGGGGGCAAGGAGGTAACTTCTGAAGTCAACCCCTGCTCGTGCACCCAGTCTCCCAGACACCCTACTCTCTCTGCATCTCCCACCCTGTGAGAATGGTCATCTGATAATGGATTTGTTGATTAATTGTTGCAATCAACCTCTATCAGTTATTTACAACAGACCCAGGTATTGCTTTATAGTGTCCTCTTCTATCATCAGATAGCCTCACTAGAGTTTTGAATGAATGCTGTCTAGTTGGGCTGAAGTGTATGAGGGAGCACCTCAGGGAACCCCCGGTGAAGGGGCAGTTAGCATAGTAAAAAGTGAGTTTCCGAAAAATATTTCTGACCTGTACAGAAAGTACGATGACTGCTGCCTTTCCCATTTTAGAATCGTCCCATCACTGTGTCCACTGAAAAAGAGTATAGGCTCCTTCTGGGCTAAGGAGGAAAGGGCACATGGTGTGAATAAGTCAATCACTTTATTAAATTCGAATTCACTTAACAGAGCAGACCCTGCATCAGTGGGCATGTGTCCTACCTAGTGTGGTACTGGAGATTGAGTTGGCTTATGCAGGCAGGGAGTACAACAAAACAACTGTGTATTTTTATATAGCACTGTAATAAAACACATAATAATGGCGGGGCTGAGAAGCGTTGCCATCTATTTGTCTTGTGGTATTAGTCTACATCATGTGAAGAAGTATGCGCACACGAAGTCCTGGTAGAAGACAGACTCAATCTTGATGGACATATTACTTCATAATAAATCTATGATACACAATGATATCTTTTGAGAAATTATGTTCAACTCAAGAATAAGTGGAACATGATTGCTATTGAATCAATCTCGCACTGACTTAGTGACAAACACAGAACAGGATAGCTCTTCCTAGCAACAGTCCTTTACAAATATTTTCTAAGCAACTTGTTTAGAGGTGTTAACACACGCCTCTGCGGGCATGACCTGAACCCAAGCCTCCTGGTTCAGAGGTTGGGACATTACCACTGTTCCACAAGCATCCTAACAGTCTTTTAAATCCCGATGCATAGAATCTTAATGATGTCGATGAACCCTTTCAGGTTATACAACAAACATCCTGAGGTGTGTGAGGAGAAAGATTATAAAACTACATATGGCACTGCATCACATAAAACATTACGAGGGCAGCTACCCTTCAGCAGTTTTAAGAAGTGTATAAAAGTGGGTGGAGATATGGAGAATTGAAGGGAAGGTATGGTAGACATTTACACTTAGGCACTAAATGATTAAATTCAAAACTGCACAAGAGACCAGAATTAGGGGACAGAAGATATCTTACATAGAAACATTGAAAATAAGGTTGGCAATAGGGAACTCAGCCTTTCAAACCTGTTCTGCAATCATAACTAATTATCCAACACAGTCCTCCATTCCTGCATTCTTCATTTTTATCGCAACTTTGATCCATTTAGCCCTAAGAATAATATCTATCTTCTTTTTGAAAATATTCAATGTTCTGGCCTCAGTCACTTCCTGTGGCAGAGAATTCCACAAGATCACCTCACTCTGGGTGAAGGAATTTCTCCTCGTCTTAGTCCCAAATGGGCCAATCCTGTATCCTTAGACTGTGACCCTGGTTCTGGACTTCCCAGTCATTGGAACATCCTTCCCGCATTTACCCTGTCTAGTCCTGTTAAAATTTCATAAGTTTCATTGAGATCCCCCCTCATTCTTCTAAACTCCAGTGAATATACACCTATCCGATCCAATCTGCTTATATATCAGTCCTGCCATCCCAGGAATAGTCTGGCAAGCCTCTTGACACTCCGTCCATAGTCAGAACATCTTTCCTCAGATAAGGAGACCAAATCCGCACAGACAGTGCTCCAGATATTGTCTCACCAAGAGCATGCATAATTGCCACAAAACATCACCGCTCCTGTACTCGAACCCTGTCCCTACGAAAGCCAACATGTCATTTGCCTTCCATACTGCCTTGTAAACTTACTTCCAGTGACTGGTGTCCAAGGATACCCAGATGTTTTACATCTCTCCCTTTCCCAATCTAACACTATTCAAATAAAAATCTGCATTCCTGCTTTTGCTATGAAAATTGATAATGGCATATTTATACACCTTGTAGAATTGTGGAGCTGAAAATGTTTGCAAAGTTTGTAGAGGTGAAGCTATGGAAGTAATTGAAAATAAAGATGTGAATTTTAAAATCAACACATTGTTAGTGAGCTAAAGTAAGTCATCCAGCAAAGGGATCGTAGAGGAATGGGACTTGGAGCAAGTTAAGACCTGACAAACACTGTTTTAAATGACCTCCGGATTACGGAGGATAGTATGCAAGACAAGCCAGGGATGCAAACAAATCCTCATTTTTATTGCAACTTTCAAAGGTGGCACGGTGGCTCAGTGGTTAGCACTGCCGCCTCACAGCGCCAGGGATCTGGGTTCAAATCCAGCCTCGGGTGACTGTCTGTGTCTGCGTGAGTTTCTTCCATGTGCTCTGGTTTCCTCCCACAGTCCATAGATTTGCAGGTAAAGTGGATTGGCTATGCTAAAATGCCCCCCAGTGTTTGTAGGTTAGGTGGATTAGCCACAGAAAATGCAGGGTTACAGGGATAGGGTGGGTCTGAGCGAGAATCTCTTCGGAGGTTCGGTGTGGACTCGATGGGCCTGCTTCCACACTGTAGTGATCCTACGATTTCACATCCTCAGGGCTCCTAAATCACATCTCAAATTGATTTCAGACAATAAGGGTACCTGGGAATGTAGTCACTGTTGAAACATTGAGGAAACTCAAAGATCAACTAATACACAAGTAGGAGGGTCTGACTATGTAGGGAGTGCAACAAGGTTTACCAGACTGACTCCTGGAATGGCAGGACTGATCATATGAAGTGATCGCATCAGTTAGGACTATAAGATGAACTGTAACCAAAACAGCCATATTCTGAAAGCGTTTGCTTTTGAAGCAGTTTTCCAAAATAACATGAAGACAACCATGTGTGTGTCCATACTCGCTCACTGAAAAAAAATTCTGAGCTTTAATTGGCTTCTGGGTGGGGGAAGATCAACATCAAAACCTAATTGATAATTTCTGTTCACAAGAATAATGATGTCCAATCTTCCACAAGAATCCTCAGAGAGCACCCTAATGAAATTTGGAACATTTTTTCACAGTTTTGAATAGATCTAGGATGGTCGAATCACAGCAGCTAACATAGCCAGTCCTGCCTATGCTGCCTCTTTGAGTGAGTAATGTAATTAGTCTCATTTCACTGCCCTTTCCCTGTAAACCCGCATTTATTTTTCCTCAACTTTTAGCTGTTGCAATCAGAAACGTAAGCCTAAATCTTAGGAAAGTTGCAAAAGTCCTGCACCATCGCTATAAAAACCGGAGCCGCAGTTCTTTAAGACCTACCACCAAAACCCAACACCCCACCATTTACACAGGGGTTGGAGAGTGTGGGTACAGGGGACAGGTTGCATGTTTTTACACCTGTGATTCACAGGGAATGATGCCATTTTCCATATTTGGGATGTCTAACACAATTCACGGACTTTATGCATTTGAGGAAATGGTCTAAAGGCATCTGAGTTATTTTGAAATGTTCCATTTTTTAAAAAGAGGTTTAGATACTCTTTAGAAGAAGTAAAGTTCATTTTAAAATTGTCAAGAGTAGACATGAATGTGAACAAATTGAGGATAATCTCAGAGGAAGTGCCAAGCTGTTAAGGCACTTAAATCCCCTGGCTTTTTAAACTTTTGAGATAAAAAATAGTGTGACTGTTTGCAAGTTCTTTAACAGTCTGTTTATATAAATTTGAGGAATATAATTACAGGATTAATGCTACTAAGATGCTCTTTTTACAAAGCAGTGAAGATCATGGGTATTTTCTCAGAGCTGAATTTGCAGACATGGAAATTTTCTTGATTCAGGACTGAAAATTCAGTCTGATACAAATATTTACAGAACAGAGGGCGATTATTCAGCATAATGTGCTAATGCTAGAAAATTATATCTGCTTCCATTACATCTTCAAGAATTGTGTTCCTAGTGGTAACACTTCACAAGAAAAAAAAAATTCACTTCACCTCCTTCCAATCAAGCATGATTTCATCTTCCTGATGCCTTGCTGATCCTGCTTGATGATATTATGCATTTCTAAATGCTTTGTTATTGCATCTTTTATAATAGATTCTAACATTCTCCTGAAGACAAATGTTGAGTTACCTGACCTATAGTTACCTATTTTATGTTTCCTTCCCTCTTTGAATAAGGGTGCACCTTGGCAGTTTTCCAGTCACCTGGCAATTTTCCAAAATCTAAAGATTCTTGGGAGATGACCACTAGCGTATCCACATCTCTGTATCTACTTCTTTTCCTATTCTAGGATGTAATCCATCAGGTCCAGGAGCTTTATCGGCCATAAGCCATACTAGTTTACTGAACATGGACTTCAAGTGTGAACTGAGGGGGTTAGCCTTGCTGGTATTGACGGTGAGCTGGAACAGTCCAATAGCCTCTGCTCCTGTTGCGCTGTACTCACTGTAAGTCAGGCATTCCACAGGCTGTTTGCTTTGTAAGACTGCGACGCAGCCCATCTTGTTGTATTTCCACACCGTCACATCTCTGTGCTGCCGGCTAGAACCTGCCATGGCAAGATGTACCAAGGTTAGACATCGATTCATCCCAGGGTGCATTTACACAGGCAGGAATGGTGGAAATGTAACACCCCAGTGTCTCACTGAAGCAGAGATTCTACTTATGTGTTGGCCTGATGGTCAGTTCTTTGGGCTGTTCAGTCACGGTTCTACAGCAGATCCTAATGGTCACGGAAGTGTACTGTCTGGCAGTGTTGCGGCGCTAGTAATCCAGAGACCCAGCTAATGTTCTGGGGGCGTGTGTTTGAAATCCAACATGGCAATTTGCATTCAACAAAAATATGGAATAAAGTGTTACATTAATGATGGCCATTAAACCACTGCCAATTGTGTTTAAAACCCACTGGGTTCACTAATGTCCTTTAGGGATGGAAACTGCCATCCTTACCTGGTCTGGCCTACATGTGTGTCCAGATGCATAGCAATGTGGGCGACTCTGAATTGCCCTCTGGGCAATTAGGGATGGACAAGATGGTCTCATCAGAGGTACGCACCCTCCATGAATGAATATAAAAACAAAGTAGATATCCAACTCATTAATAAGTTCACATTTCCTGTTGCACTGTGGCCAAATACAGCATCACTCGGCACTGACTGAAGAGTTAATATTTGTGATTGATACAAGGTTTGTTAGGGTAATAGAACAGAGTGAGGAATACAATGTTATGGCTACGAGAAGGTGCACAAAGAGTGAGATCAATATTAAATTTAAAATTTGAGAGGTCCATTCAGAGGTCTAATAAGTGATGCTGTATTTGGCCACAGTGCAACAGGAAATGTGAACTTATTAATGAGTTGGATATGTACTTTGTTTTTATATTCATTCATGGAGGGTGGGTACCTCTGATGAGACCACCTTGTCCATCCCTAATTGCCCAGAGGGCAATTCAGAGTCACCCACATTGCTATGCATCTGGAGTCACATGTAGCCCAGACCAGGTAAGGATGGCAGGTTCCATCCCTAAAGGACATTAGTGAACCCGGTGGGTTTTAAACACAATTTTAAACATAAGTGCAAGGAAGAAGCTGTTCTTCAGTTTCTTGGCATGAGCGTTTCAGCTTTTGTGACTCCCGATAGAAGAGGTTGGAAGAGATTATAACCAGGTTGGAGGAGTCTTTGATTATATTGGCTGTCTTCCCAAGGCAGTAAGAAGTATAGATGGAGTCATTGGATGGAAGGTTGGCTTGCGTGATGGAATGAGGACTCAGAATCAGGAGAGTTGGAGGAAACTCTGCCAAGATAGGTGAGTGGGAGTAAAGTCTGCCAAGAACAAACTACTCAGCTGGTGTCTCTCATTTCTGGGAAAAAAAAAATCCACTTATCGAGTTCAGAAAAACATATTTGTTCTTTTGAAAAAGTGAGAGAGGATCTTCAGATTATGCTTCCTGCAGGATTTCAGAGATACCCATGCAAGATTAGTGCACACTAAAACATCAGAGCAACAGACACCAGACCATCCTATGTTTTATCCTTTGCCAGGTTCCCACTTGCAATGGATACTCTCCCTTTTTACTTCGAATCTTATTATCTGTACAAGTTGCATTTTTATTTACTTTCGGGGGAGAAGCTGATAAAATTTTCTCTTTTACTGAAGAAAATCCTAGTAATTGATCCGCCACGTTCTAGAAAACTGTATTGTAATTGAAGTGTGTGAAGTCGTATGTCTAAAGAAGAAATAAAAATATCCATTTCAATTGACCAAGGATGGGTTGAAAAGAGTGGTTTCAGCTCCTCACCTGGTCATAACAAGGATTGCTGGCAAAACTATTGAAGAAAGTGTGCCAATGTAACTCCTTACCAATCACATGGTTAGTCTCTGGGATACAGACCAGTTGATGGAAAGGTTGTCCAGACTCGTGTGTTTGGAAAGTTTCAACAGACTCAGAAACCTGGAAAACAAAGTGAAGACAAGGGATTGAGTTCTTGAAGGGACAGGGGTGTGAAATCGATGTTGTAGTATCGAAAGCGAGTTGGTGAAAGGATGGTACAAGAGCCAATCTTTACTCAGTCTTACATTTATTTACAGAGTGATACATCATAAACTGCAACCGCCACTCAGTTTCATTAAGTAGGGGTCAATACTTTTAATCAACCTGTCTGGACATGGTGTGACACACCTCTGGTGCAGGTGGAATTTGAATCCTGCCCTTCCAGCACTAGAGGTAGTGACACTACCACTGTGCCACAAAGCTCTTGGTATGTAGAGGTAATTTGTTTTTTTAATCAACAGGTTTGGTTGCATTATGCCCCCACCTGGTGGAGAGCTGCCTTCTCAAACTCCTGCAGTCTATTTGGCGTAGGTAGACCCACAATGTCATTTGGCAGAGGATTTTGACCCAGCAACACTGAAGGAATGATCAAACACATCCACAAATATTCAGTCCTCGACCACCAATGACCAGTAACAGCACTGTATACCATGTACACGATGCACTGCAGAAATTCACCAAGTCTTAAACTCATAGAGTCATACAGCATGGAGACAGACCCTTCGGCCCAACTTGTCCATGCCAACCATAATCCAAAACTAAACTAGTCCCACCTTCCTACATTTTGCCCGTATCACCCTAAACTGTTCCTATTCAGGTACGTATCCAAATGTCTTATAAATGTTGTAACTGTACCCGCATCCACCACTCCCTCTGGAAGTTCACTCCATATATGAACCACTCTCTGTAAAAAGGTTGCTCCTCATGTCCTTTTTAAATCTTTCTCCTCTCACCTTAAAAGTTTGTCCCCGAGTCTTGAACACCCCCATCTTAGAGAAAAGACCTTTGCTATTCACCTTGTCTATGCCCCTTATGATTTTATAAACCTATGTAAAGTCACCCCATGACCTCCTACGCTCCATTGAAAAAGTCCCAGCCTGCCCAGCCTATTTTTATAACTCAAATCCTCCCTTCCTGGCAACATCTTGGCAAATCTTTTCTGAATACTCTCCGATTTAATAGTATCCTTCATATAAGTGGGCAGCCAAAATTGTCTCCTTAGACAGTACCTTCCAACCTCATGACTACTACCATCTAATATGGGGGTTTGGAACAGGAGTAGGCCATTCAGCCCCTATTCCTCCATTCAATGAGACCATGGCTGACTTGTCGCCTAACTTCATATACCTGACTTTGGCCCACATCCCTTAATACCTTTGCTTGACAAGAATGTATTTACCTCAGATTTAAAATTAACAAGTGATCCAGCACCCACTGACAATTGTGGAAGAGAGTTCCAAACCTCTACCACCCTTTGTGTGTAGAAGTGCTTCCTAACATTTCCTCTGAACTATATGGGCCTAACTTTCCGACTAAGACCCCTTGTTCTAGAATCCCTGACCAACTGAAGTAGTTCATCTTAATCTACCGTGACTTTTCTTGTTAATATCTTGACCAGGTCACCCTTTAACTTTCTAAATTCTAGAGAAAACAGGTCAAATTTGTATGATCTGTCCTCATAAATTAACCCCTGAAGTCCAGGCATCATTCTTGTAAATGTATGTTGTACTCCCTCCAAGGTAAGTCTATCCCTCTAAGATATGCTGCCCAGATCTACTTGCAGTACTCCAAGTGGGGTCTAACAGTGTGGAGCTGGAGGAACACAGCAGGCTAGGCAGCATCAGAGGAGCAGGAAGGTTGACGCTTTAGGTCGGGACCCTTCTTCAGAAATTCTGAAGAAGGGTCCCGACCTGAAATGTCAGCTTTTCTGCTCCTATGATGCTGCCTGGCCTGCTGTGTTCCTTCAGCTCCACACCGTGTTATCTCTGACTCCAGCATCGGCAGTTCTTACTATCCTGGGGTCTCACCAGGGTTTTGTAAAACTGCGGCATTAGCTCTGTACCTTATTCCAGTCCCCTAGATATAAAGGCCAGCATTCCACTAGCTTTCTTGATTATTTTCCAGTAGGATGACAGCATAGGTACATGGGAACATGGCCAAGGCTGGGTGGCTAAGTTTGGAGATGATTCAAAGATAATTAAAGAAAATTATCACAGGACACTAACAGATCAGCAACGATCATATTGGATGGCTGAGTAGACTTTAAGAGCAAGAAACATCCTTCCTGTATGTGGACATCAGAGAATGGACTATGATATTACCACAGTTGCTTCACTGCCTAGGCCACTTGAGAGAGCTATTGAATGGGCTGTGTTAATCAAGTGAGAGTCTGCTCCTACAGAGACAGAGGGATGAAAGATAGTCGGTAATCAAAATCAACAGTGGCTGTCCCATCGGTCAGAAATTCTTTGTAAATCCCTGATTTTGTTTTTCACAAGAGAAGGAATGGGTGCACTCACAATCTCCCCAGAGCTTGGGTCGAAGACGGAAGGGTTCGGAGGACCGCTGCAGATCCACACAGAGTTCACGCAGGGCACAAAGCAGAGGCTGCTTATAAACTGGGCAAAGTGAGGGAGCTTCATGATCAGCTGTCCATCCTGTGACCAAACTCTCACACTTTTATCGAAGGAACCAGTAATCAGCCTGTATTGGGTGAAGAGAGACAGCGTGTTAAAGTTGAATGCTAGTATCTGTGGCAACATTGTCAGGTTAGCATAAGTGACTCCCTCCTTTTTCGCATACTCACAATCTCATGGAAAGCCTCACCTCAACCTGTCTTCCTTCTTCCTCCATTCGCAAACAGGAGTAAACCTCTGCTATGCTGGTCGATGAGGCTTCACTGCCGCCCTTACCTTGATTGACTAATTGATTTCTTATTGTCACATGTACCGAGATACAGTGAAAAGTGTTGCTTTGTGCGCTAAATAGGTAGATTGTGCCATACAAAATGCATCAGGGTAGCAGAGCAGAGTGCAGAGTACAGTGTTACATAGAAGGTGCAGAGAGAGAAAGAGAGATCAACATTAACATTTGAGAGGTCCGTCCAAAAGTCGGGACAGCGGGGAAGAAGCTGTCCTTGAATCTATTTGTATGTGTGTTCAAACTTTTGTATCTTCTGCCTGATGGAAGAGGATGGAAGAAAGTATAACCAAGATGGGAGTGGTCTTTGATTATGTTGGTTGTTTTCCTGAGGCAGTGGGAAGTGTAGATGGAGTCAATGGATGGAAGGCTGGTTTGCATGATGGACTGGGCTGTGTTCACAACTCTGTGTAGTTTATTGCAGTCTTAGGAGGACCAATTGTCAAACCATAATGTGATGTGTCCAGATAGGATGCTTTGTATCTACAAAAATTGGTAACAGTCATTGTGGACATACCTTGTGCTCTCGTGTTCTTGGACCACCATCAGGTTTGTGATACCCGCATCATGAGCGTTGGTGTTGCAGTAGACGACCTGCAGGGTTTTGCTGTTTGGGTACGAGCTGGTGTTATACATGATGAATTTCTTGTCATACCTGGTCAAACAAGAGGAGTGGAAATGAAGGGTCCAGGCCTGAAACGTCAGCCTTCCTGCTCCTCTGATGCTGCTTGGCCTGCTGTGTTCATCCAGCTCCACACCTTGTTATCTCAGATTCTCCAGCATCTGCAGTTCCTACTATCTCTGAGTGGAAATGTTTGTCAGCCCACAGAAGTAAGTAAACTTTTTAATTTGAGATGACTGCTTCAATCATCGAATGCCTCAGTCTCATTCCATTAGTTTATCTTAACTTTGGGAGGGGTGGTGGAGCATAGGGACAGGAGGAGGCCATTCAGTCAGATTAGGTGACCTGCACCTCCCTTTCATTTACCTACCTTTTCTTTGAATCACTGCATTTTTACCGAAAGAAAATCTATTTATCTCAGTTCTGAACGCTCCATTTGAACCGTAGTATCCATAGTGACTTGAGGGAGGGAGTGCCAGATTTCCAGGGGCCTTTGTATGATGTGATATCATTCTGGAAAAGCTAAACTATAATATTAAGATAACGCTGTCTTGTTCTTGACTCCCCAAAGGAATTCATTTCTCTGGTATTGAGTCCTTTAAACATTTCCAACACTTCAAACACATCACTCTAGTGAAAAGATATGATTTAATTCCGGGTTACATAAGATTAAGTGCCATAATGTTGTTAAACACTTAGCTAATATTAATTTCCTTTGCCTGTGAATTTTTTTAAACATCTGATTTTGGGTGTCTCAGCAGCTGAGGACTGGCATCGTACTAATGCAAATTAATGAACATTTATCAACTGGTTGCACTAGTACTGAGATATGGTTGAATTGGAATACAGCATTATTCATGCGGGTTGTAGTGCAATGTGGCTAGAGTTCCATCTATCATTTAACACAGTTTCAAACTTTAATATGAATATACAATGAAAGAAAAACTGTTGGTTTGTCCAGTTTGTCTCACATACTTTTCTCTTTCCAGTCAAAATCATCTAACCTTCTGGAAAAGGCAAAAATCCAGGCTAATCTGGGGCAAAATCTCTTTTCCAGCACGACAGAAACTGGTCCAAGAGGTCCCTTTAGTCCTGATCATCCTGTGCGGTGTATGAGATGATCTATGTTCTCAGAAACAGGTTCTGTCCTTGTTTGATGGAGATCAGTGTGTCAGTGTCCGGCACATATTGCAGAAGTCCACTAAACTAGATCTGAGTACAACTTAAAATTTAACCTCCTTGTTCTCCTTAAACTATTTCATCGAACAAATTGTTCCACACAACCATTAGCCTACTCCCTTCGTCTTATAATCCTCACCCACGTCAGCCCAAAGTCAAAACCTATCTAAAATGTAGTGCCATCCCTTGCAGCCAGTCTTGGTATACAAGACATTGGAAGATAGACATGGATATTTTAATATGATTGTCTTCATTTGCAAGGTTTCAAAATCCTAACGGCATTCCAACACCCCATTTGCTCCATTTGTTAATTGACCTGATGGTCAGTCTTCTGAATTAGTTAGAAGCTATTTTACATCACAGGAGAGTGACAAAGTCAGGAGGACACATCTCCACTGAGACCCACCCTTCTTGACTTGCAGGCATTAATCTTTCATTACTGGTAGGCCGTTATCTCAGAGCTTCCTCTACTTGATATCATCTGAGGAGCACCGTGACTCCCAGGGCTGCTGTGATAGGGTTAGGGTTAGGTACAGGTCACCATGACAACCAACACCACTTTCTCAGAGAAACAAAGGAGGGGCCAATAAACTTCAAAGGAGCCAACACTCCCCTTACTTCAGTGAAACGCTGCATCAAAAGTGCTATACAAACGCAAGTTCTTGTGGGCATCCAACATAGTCTGGGAGTCTTTGGTGCTTGTCAAACTGCACTTCCAGTTTCTGGGCTTGGTAAGTCTCAGGTTTCACTGTGAGAAGGGAGGTGGTAGTTAATACCATGCAAAGGCAGAGCTTACATCTATACGTTTTTGCTATAGCATGACTTAAATAAAATGATGGCTATCAGACTCATCAAAGGACTTGAGCTCATTTAACCCTGCTTGTTTTAAGGGTACTCACCCAGCAGAGTATATCCTTGTATCAATGCAGACCACAGCTGACACAATGTCTTTGTGCCTGCGATCAGTGAAGCATGTCTCCAAATCCAACACATGACCAGAATCCTTCTTGACATCCAAAGCAAAGACCCTGAGCTGCTTTTTGAATCCACAGATGAACTGGTGCCTCCAGTGATTAATGGCCATGCAAAATACCGAAGCATTTAACTGGAAGAGAAAGTTGAAATGCACAGAAGCAGATATTTCAAAACATTGCGTTCTTTGTGGGATCTCACTATGTAAACAATTCAGTTTCCAACAGTGACTGCACTTCCAAGGTGCTTCATTGATTGTAAGCGGAGGGACAGCCAGGGAATATGGAAGAGCTTTTTTAAAAAAATTGAAAATTATCTCTTTCTGCCTTAACTTCAAGCAGATGGTGTTGTGTGTATGGAACGAGTTGCCAGAGCAAGTGGTGGAAGTGGGTACAATTACACCATTTAAGAGGCATCTGGATGGGTACATCAATAGGAAGGGTTTAGAGGGATTAAGCCAAATGCTGGCAAATAGGACTGGATTAATTTAGGGTATCTGGTCGGCATGGATGAGTTGGATCGAAGAGTCTGTTTCTGTGCTGCACTCTATCACTGTAAATCAGCACACATATGCACCTCCCAAATTATTTTGATTCTAGGCCTTGCAGATAACTGACTTGCTGTACTTGAGGCAGGAGATTGTGGATTGGAGCCCTACTCCTGATATTTAAACATCTAATCCAGGCTGGAATTTCTGTGCAACACCAGAGATCGTAAAACATTGCTTGAGATACAACGTACCAGCAGAGCTATTAAACTGAGATATTTGCTCCCCTGGATGTAAAAGATCTCATGCACCTTCTGAAGCTACACAGTAGTGTTCTCCTTGATGTCCTGGCTATAACTTAGCCCCCAACCAGTTCCATGCAAACAATTCAGTTTCCAACAGTGACTGCACTTCCAAGGTGCTTCATTGATTGTAAGCGGAGGGACAGCCAGGGAATATGGAAGAGCTTTTTTCGGAAGAGATTATTCAGAAATACCACAGTACTGCAAAATGGGTGTGCCCATGTGCAAATTGATTGCTACAATTCTTACTGTCTAACAGTGACCACACAGCAATAATATTCCTCATTTTTAACTTCTGCCTTTTCCATAGTGTTCTCATTTCATAATGTTTTACTTCTGGCAACACAGGATAAAATTCACAACGTAGAGATCAAAGGATGGAAACGGAGACCCAAGGATGGAGCTCTTACCGTAATCCGGTCAAAGACGGTGGCTCCAACAGTCCACACCACAATAGTCCCATCGTTTGATGCTGAGAAAAGAAGTTTGTGTTCCGCCCAGTACAAGAACTGAGTGATCATCCCAGTATGCTCAAAGACTGAAAAAGTCAGTTGTCCGGTTTCCAAATCCCACCATTTAATAACGCCATCTGATCAACAGTAATGGACAGAGAAAGTGCTCGTTAAACAACCCTAGCAAAACTAATACACTCCTTATTCATCATCCCTTTGCCTGAGTCAGGAATAGACCTATTCAACCTTTCAGTGGGGTAATGTCGAATCTGTGTTCCAATTCCATTCGCCCGTCATGACGTCATCTCACTTGATCAACCTACTGAGTAAAACGCTACAGATCTCAGTCTTGAAAGCTCCAATTGACCCCTAACTTCCAAAGCCTTTGGAGGAGTGGATTCCCGATTTCTATTACCCTTAATGAAGGCGCTTCCTTGATTTTACGCGTATTGTTATGACTGTTTTTTGTTGCACACCCAGATAAAATTTGGGAGCGACGCAAACCAAGTTGGCAGCTTCATACATGATCATATGTGATCACACATGATCCCCATCAGTCAGTCAACTGCTGACACCATCTCACACATTGTGAAGAGCAACACCTTAAAGTTGAAGGGGTTGAAGGTAATTGGGGTACAATATCAACGAGTACCCAATCTATAACTGCACTGGGTGTCAATAGTACATCAGGTGTGGGTAACAGTTTTCTCCCATCATTCTCATAGCCAGTCTCCTTGGTGCTGTTGTGGGAGATGCTCTATAGTGTAGAGGAAGTTTTCAAAATCTGGAGCTCAGTGGATTGTTTAAGACATTATTCTATTTTTCTTCCCCTTTTAATAATGGTTATTCTGCCTCTGACCACTTTGCTTCTCTATCCCTACCTCTATTCCTGAATTGTTAGCTCAGTCTGCATGAATTGGAAGGAGTAGTCACCGGGAAAACAAACAGTTACTACACAACAGCCTCTCTGCAAACACTGTAGCCAAAGTCCTGTGTTGTCAGGAATCCACATTAAACTGACTCCATTTCATTGAGATGAGAGGAGATAGCAATGTCTGCACTCAGACCTCAATGAGTGCTTAACTCGCCTGGCTGACCAACATCCCGTTTTATCCACTTGTTGAAATGTTCTGCCCATTACATATTTTTGCACATTTTCATTATTATTTGGCAGATAAGTTTGCGGTGGTGAGTGATTGACACACAAGGAGAACTTTTATGATTCACTTTTGATCCACCCTTTACATTCTCCATCCAAGATCTTCATTTACTCATTAGCAGCAGTTCTGGTCGCTTTGATATTTCACAGTATTTCTGTTAACCTGTTCCGCAGCTCAATCCTTTTAGGGTGTACAGTTCCATCACACTTCCTGGATTCTGTGATGGGTGCTAAATAAGTTGGTGTCAAATTCCAAATTTTAGCTCAGGCATAGAACATAGAACCGTACAGCACCGTACAGGTCCTTCAGCCCACGATGTTGTGCTGACCTACTATCCTACTCTAAGATCAAACTACCCTGCATACCTTACATTTTACTGTCATCCATGTGCCTATCCAAGAGTCGCTTGGATGTCCCTAATGTATCTGACAAATTCTAGCATGAGCTAGAATTGTCGGGTCCAAGCCTCCCCACCAAATCTATCCTGAAATGTAGATAAGGCAATCAACTATTTGCATGGATACAGCTCAGTTTAATCCCATCTCCTTTCAATGTGCAGGTGCAGACATTCATTGTAAGGTATTGACAATGAATGAGATTCCCCATCTCTAGCAGAGGACAATTGTTCAAAGTTACCCGCTTTATTAACCATAAACTTACAAGTTCTTTTGTCTATTTGATTACACCTTTCCAGTCTGTCAAAGTCACTTCTGCTTTAGTCTCTGTCTGAGAAGCATGTATAATTGCATTCAATTCTGGTTGCCACATTACGGGAAGGATGTTGGAGGCTTTGGAGAGGGCGCAGAAGAGTTTTATCAAGATGCTGCCCAGATGACAGGGTATGAGCTATAAGGAGAGGCTGGACAAACTATTGTTTTCTCTCAAGCAGCGGAGGCTGAAGGGAGAACTGATGGAAGTCTATGAAATTATGAGACACATAGATAGGGTTGACAGTCAGAATCTTTTTCCCGGATTTGAAATACCTAGGGGTATTTAAGGCAAGAGGGGGAAAGTTCAAAGGAGATGTGAGGGGCAAGTTTTTTTTTTAACGCAGAGAGTCTTAGGTTTCTGGAACACGCTGCTAATATATAAATATAATTCTTATCATCTAACTGTTGAAATTGTCTGGTTTGTATTGTTTTGGCTCAAGGTTATTGATTTTTTTTAATGATGTTTGGTTGCTCAGCTGTTTGTAGAAAAGGATTTTCTGGTCATTTATATTTCCACTGCTTCAGGCAGTAAAGTGAATTGTGCACTGCTATAGAATCTGAATGATTTTACATCAAGTAAAGGCATCACAGTCTACAATAGGTGGGCATGACCCTTTTGGCCTGACAACATTGAGGGTGCAGATCATTCCGCCGTTACGGAGATCCCAGTGGAGACAGGGAAGTGCAGAACAATCTGTGAAGTTGTGTTCAGAAGACCATGCAATGAATTTAGACAATTAGGTGATTGATCAATAGCTCTGGAAAAGACGCCACTGCCATTTTGTGGGTCAGTCTCATTGAAATGGGGCTGGGGTGGATGCAGAGTGCCAAAAGTACATGGGTTAAAATGTGGCTTCCAACCACCCTGGCAACCATGAGGGGTGTGTGTGTGTGTGTGTGTGTGTGTGTGTGTGTTGCATAGATAGGGTCAAAACCAGAGTTGACATATTTAACACTAGGGGACATGCATTTAAGATGAGAGGGAGAAATTTCAAAGGAAATGCAGGGCGGGGGGAGGCAAGTCTTTAACTGAGAGTGGTAGGAGTTTGGAACACACTGCCAGGGATGATGGTGGAGGCAAAGATGATAAGGGCATTTAAGGGGCTTTTAGATAGGCACATGAGTAAGCAAGGAATAGAGGGATATATTCCATGGGCTGGCAGTAGGGATTAGTTAATTTGTTGTCACGTTCAGCATAACATTGTGGGCTGAAGGGCCTGTTCCTGTGCTGTACTGTTCTTTGCTGTATATTCTCAGGTTAACGTCTCTCCTGAAAGACATTTGCAACATTGCAGCATGCATTGCAGTGTCATATTGAAGCATCACATTAAATGACAAACTTTGGTTCTAGCACTGGGCCTGCAGCCCCCAAAACTCCTATCCAGCTGAGAGAAGCTGACCTTCTTTTCTCAACTTCATCACCACATGGAGTGTTCCCTTCCATTGCATGGCTACACTGGGAATGTATCTGTGGCAAGGACACCTTCAGAATTCTTTGTCCCTCTCTATTGCTGCACTATGTGACTAAATCAATGAGGAATAATTGGCATGGACTGTAGGGTGCTACATCACCCTATGACTCCATAAGTGATGGCTGAAATATTAAGGAGTAGCAGAATGGATAATCAATGGGTGAGATGAAGTCCTAGCTCAATCCAAGAAAACGTTGTAAATTACTGTAAGTGGTTAAATAAACTGGAATAATCTCAACCAAAAAATTCCATCTCACCCACAGCACTCTGATACTGACTCAGAAGGTCATATACTATAGTCTTGGAGATCTGAATTGTTTAATTGGGGCCACATTTACTTGTTCAGGTTGCTGTAAAAGAGCACATTGTTCACATTCATGTTGAAGTCCTGGTTATCATCTCTAAGGCAAGCTCAATAAAATGGACTCACTGACTGCTCATGCCATTACAGTTTTGGAGCATTGCTGTGTTTGGGGGGGGTTGTCAAATTTGCCAACCTTTCAGAGGGTTTACTACTGGCTGTGAAGCACTTCAGCGCATCGTGTGAAAGGCATTAAGTTTGTGGTGGAAGTGCTCAGCCTCTTTTCCTGTGATCTGAGTGACTTGATCTGAAAGATTGAGATTACAGCAATACCCTGTTTTGCACACTTACCCTCAAAGCCGGTCAGGAATTCTCTTCGAGCCAAGTGATATCCCAAAGCGCTCACTGAACGGTCATGGCAGTCTGTGACTCTCAGATGTTTCTGCATGGACATCTTGCACCAGGTCTACAAAGAGACATGCAGCGAGCAACCAAGATGCTTGTGTATGCTTTTGGTTTGGATCCTAGACCGACCGCATCTTAACATTTCTGTTGCAGCTTAGTCTCGCAAGGGAAGTCTTTTTGAAGGTATTTCAACTGCTCAGCATGAGTTCAGATGCACAGAAACACTGGGTGTCCCTCTGAGGAACTTTAAATCATGCTGTGGGTCAGGCGGTGAGATAACTAACATCAGCGACCACGCAGCACACAAACTTAGCTACACAGTTTGAAAACTTCCTGCTCTGCAGCCATGGAAACAGCAAACGAAGTCAGGTGATTCAAAGTCAATAACATGGGCTCCACGCCAGCTCTTAAGTCCTTCATTTCTACTGTAGCCAGCCTTAAAAAAAAACAGAGAAAGGCAAGAACCCTTTTGCAAATTAAACCCCGAAATGGAGATCAGTGCAACACATTCATCACAGAATGTAATATAATTTCTCAGCTCTTAATCCTGATTCGCCAATGTTGCAAACTCTCATTCGCATATACAAGAATGATAATAAATTAGAGGGAGACATGTTTTTACTGAGTATTAGAATTAATCATTGTATGAAAAACGAGAATTTTAAATTCAAGGCGCTCTTATCCAAAAGGGAGCAGGCAGAAAAGTCCTCTTTAAGCTCTCAAAAGGTCACTTCAGATCTGCTCTGAATTAGAATTAACCTTTGTTGTCACACGTACTCAATGAGTGTAGTGAAAGGTTTACACATCG